TGTAGGGAAGACACAGCTTTCTGAAGGCCATATGTCAGTACTTCTTGGTATCAGTAGGATGTTTCCAGCTGTGAATAACAGGAAAGCACAACTAAAAGTAGTTTTAACAATAAGGAAATGTGTTATCTCGCATAACAAGAAGTCCCAAGATAGGGCACGTCCTGGGGTGATGTCAGGGCTCCCGTCCAGGTCTCTGCAATTCTCTCCGCCCGGATCCCCACTGTGTATGGGCATCAACCTCAGCTGGAGATAGGATGGCTCAGGCTGTGCCGGGGCTCATAATAATTCTCATAATCCTAAAGGTTTGTTAAATACACGAAGCTCACTCACAACCAAAAGCATCTAGAGAAAGAAGATAAATTACCTATTTCTTAAATGGCTTTTAGGGAATTTGGAATCTTTCCCTGAAATCTCCCTCAGGCCCGCCCCCCCACCCATGCCTTTGACTTTCTCTCACCTCTGTTGGCCCTGACTGGTATTAGGTCACCTTCCTGTTCCTAAACCGGTCGGTCGTTGGTGTGAGCTCTGCAGTTATACCGTCATTGGCTGGGGCCAGTCATCTGAGGTAGAATGGGTAACCAGGAGTGACCACATCAGCCACGACAATATCAAAACCTGGGCCTAACAATTCCACCTCCGAAAGTTTATCTAAGGAAAGAATTTAAAATCTTCCCACCGGAACGAATATTCAATAACTTGTAATAACCTATACTGGAAACGAATATGAAAAAGAATATATGTATGTATATATGTGTTACCTACTCACTTTGCTGTACACCAGAAACTAACACAACATTATAAATGAGCTATATGTCAATTTTTTAGTCTTCCCAAAAGGTCCATGGACCTCTAAGGTGATATTAAGCTTTTCTAGCCTTGGGAGGACAGAGCACCAAAGAGTTTTGCACCGTCTTGGAAAGCCTCCCTCCCCAGTAGTTATTGCTCATGACCACAATCTAAGACACCAGTCTCAGAAATATGCTCTAAGTGGAACTGAATACCAAGCTACCCTGAAGAAACATCAGAACAGATCTCACCATGCCCCACACACTGTTTTTCTTGGTGACCAAGGCCCAAGGTCATGTCTCATCCTCCAGACTCTTGTCCCCATACAGACCTGTACACCTTCTGCTCTGGCCAATGTCACACCCACGCTAGATCCCCACAAAGGCTTCCACTCTGCCTTTGGAAACTCCTGGTCTAGGAGGATAGAGAAATTCTGTATCCTCCACCTCTTCTCTTTAATGCTCAAACCCAAGCCTACGTGGTTGGTTTTCTCCCATACACTCTGGGCTGAGCCCGGCAAAGGCTCTTTCTTCCTCTTTGGTGCTGCTTCCAGACCATGGGGACCCCCTTCTCCACAACAGTCCTGGCTCCTCTGAAGGGCTCGGCATCAGACCAGACCTGGAGAATGCACCAGGCAATACCGCTCTGGGCACAGTACTCCACGGCACCTCCTTCACCCCCTCCCTCTCCTTGAAGATACAAGCTCCGGGATCTCTGTCTGTATCTTCACCATTTTTTCTGTCGTAATTCACGGGGACTCCCACATCGAGGGAAACGACTCCTCCAGTGCCTTGTTTTCTCATCTCCTCAACCTTCTCACCTCCACTGAAACTTGCCTTCCAGCCCACTTCCGCTAGCCACCCCCGAGATCACACAACTTAGAATGTCCGTATAAGTAACTGTACTCCTGCCATAATCTTAATTTCAAGTATTTCGCTTTCTAAACACCACTTCCTATGTTTCCAGACCACTGCCCTTTTACCAAGATTGTTTTTCAATCTTGAGGGTGATTCTACGATGCAGCCGGGAAGATCGCTGCTCTACACACGGGTGTGCGCTCACCCGACGTTCTCAGGCTCTTCTGTCTTCTCCATCCAGACTCACCGCTACATGGCTGATCCCCTGCTGACGGTTGCCAGGTTAACACCTCCACCTTACCCGACTCCCAAACTCCATACTCCCTCATACCTCACTGCATATTAGACAAAACCTCCTTAAATGAAAAAATAATTCCTCCAGAGCCCTTTCACAGTAAAGAATTCTCATTATTCTAAAAGCTTTTTAAATACACGAGGTTCATTCTCAATCCTTTGCCACCTTTACCTGTTTTCAGCATGTGCTCATTAAATGACGGTGACCGATACACTTTTCTTTGTTCATAGAAGCAACATATGAATTCCCTCAGATTGAAATGCAATGCAAATGAAATGAACCAGACAACTCC